AAAAAAAAAAAAAAAAAAAAAAAAAAAAAAAAAAAAAAAAAAAAAAAAAAACTGAAATTCCTGATTGGATTGTAATGGAACTGAATTTTTTTTTTATCCCTCCCAGAGAACGCTTTCCATACTACAAAAGCAACGACGACCGATGGAAGAACTCGGTGCGGCACAATTTGTCGATAAATCCCCACTTCCGCAAAGGCTCGAAGGCACCGCACGGCGCGGGCCATTTGTGGGCGATAGCCAGCCAGGACGAGTCCAAGCCTCGTCAGTTGTTCAGCATCGCCGCCATCAGACAGGCATTGAGGAACGAGGAAGCGGCCGCTGCCGCGGCCAAGGCCAACAGTGCCGCAGCAAAGGCCGCCAGGGCCAATCCGTACGATCATTATTTATATGCTTTGTAATACGTTTATTATACATGCGTGACGTGTATTGCCAAACGAAGGCATTGCCGATTTTTAGGGGATCTTCAAGGAGTGGTGTGGCAATTGAAAGATAACGTTTTTCCCAAATTTTAGCTTTTCTCGGATTTAATTCTCATTACTCTCAGCCATAAAAATGGGATAACTAGAATTAAAGGCGTCTCATGAATCAAAACACCGAAAAATTCAAAAGATATGTTGGAATACATTGAATGCATTTTTAGCTACTCCTTCACTTTGATCCACTTTGAAAATATATTTGGAATATATTTTTCTACATAAAAAAAAAAACTTCCTCTTTGCTCACTTCGGTAAAAAAAAAAAAAAAAAAAACATTTCGCTCATTTTTACTTACGAAAAAACTCCTTGGAATTTCCTTAATATATGCATTTTGGAAGCCGATCACGTGTACATACTGTGTGAAAATGTGCGTTTTGCAATTAAAAAGCTTTAATTTATATATATTTTTGCGCTTTTCAACTGTACGTTTCACAAAAAGGTAAAAAAAGCTCGAAAAAAAAAAAAAAATTTACATTCTAGAAGGAAAAAAAAAAAAAAAAAAAAAAATGGATTAAAACGTATTGAAATAGGCGACCAGAGCCAGAGCCAATAGACGAGGTGGCCGCAGCGACGGCCAGCATAAGCCAGCCCGTCGAGGAAGACCCGGAGGAGGAGGAGAACGACCTTGTGGACGCGATAACTCTTGAGCATTGCGCCGAGCAGATTCTCAGTGGCATCAAGAAGGAAGTCGAGGTGCAGTACCTCGTGCCGATGATGGTCTCGAGTAACGGGGACCTTCTGCACAATCAGCAATCGTCCGGCCAAGCTGGGCCGACGCACCACCTCACGCAACTCGTGGACTCGCTCTGCCCCATCAAGGAGACGGGTATGGGCTTATCGATATTTTATCATCTGCTTCGTCTAATCATTGGAATCATCTTTTTTCTTTTATATTCATACACACGTGCATTATTTTTAACATACTACGTCTTTCACGTAAGGCACGACCAATCTATGGATTTAATTTCCAGAGTAAAAAGTGTAACTTAAATCTCTTATTAAGATTTTATTTCGAGGCCATTTTTATAATTTAATACCACATCCAAACAAGTTTTATCTTGATATTTGGCCAAAAAATGCCAAAGAAAATAGTTCAAAAGTTACATACCACAAAACAATATTTCGGCTATTTTTAAACGTTATTTTTCGTCATGTTATTCCTGCGTTAGGGCCACACGCTATAATATTGGATGAAAATGGCACACACACAAAAAAAGTGCATTTCAATAAAATCTGTAAGTTTTGCATTAACAATTTTGTCCGCAAATGACATGTAAAAAAGTTATGTGCTATAAAACGATTTTTTCGGCTATTTCAAAACAACAATTTTTTTTAGTTTATAGTGTCAAGACAACTGTATGGACGAAAATGGTCAATACAAAAAACATCCATTTTTATAAGATCTACAAATTTTGGATGAAACATTTCGGTCACGAATGTAATATTTTTTGATTTGAAGAAAATACTCCCGTACATTGGTCGTGCCTAAAAATGTGCGAAAAATCATCATATAATCACGATGACTTTTGAACAGAAATCAATCTGACGAGAAAAATGTGTAAAAATTCTTCTAGAAACAGCCGAACCGAGCCTGAAGCTATCTCTTCCGAATTTTCCAGACTTCTTGAACCCCGTGTCGAAGGAAGTGGTGGCCGAGGAGTGCGGCCTCCTGGGTGAAGGCTACCTGGTCACAGACTTGAACCCGACATCTCTTGGACTCAACATGGCCGAGTCGGAGGTCGTCAGCTCGGACAATCTCTTCGGCGAGGAGCTGAGTTTTCAGTTCTACGAGTTCGCCACGGCAGCCTCGTCCCAACTCCAGTCCGCCTGACGGCATCGCAAGTCACCCTCCGAATCGTCATCGTCCTCCTCTTCCTCCCCGTCGTCTTCGACCGAGGTCTTCGACAGCAATGAAAATGAGATTCGTCTTGTGCTCCTTGACGAATCGTATCAGCCCATCGCTGCTCTCTAGGGTGTTGGGCGAGGCATCGGGTTCTCTCTTTGGCTGGCAACGATGGGAGAGGACAAGTGGAAAGACACCACCACGCTCCCGCGCATATACACACTTATACACTATTGTGCCTGATTATATAAATGTGCAAAAGATTTAACAGTGTATATCCTTACGATTAATATTAACGATGTGCAACCTGTAATAATTAATTTACGCATACTAGTCCACGTAGCGAGCATGTGTAATGCTTTGCCTATCTTTTGTCTGTTTGTTTGTTTTTCCTTGTTTTTTGTATTAGCTAAGTTACTATTAAATATAATATTTACAATTTGATACACCTTGTTACACTTTTTTCATCACTGCAGGACTCACCAGACTCTCTTACACCAACTCTTGCGATGATATAATGGTAAAGTGACAAGAGTGTTTTAAAAATCGGACTATATAGTTTAAAAGTATTTTAATTAATTACATATATATTTAACAATTCATACAAATGACTTCATTTACAGTTAATCCGTTTTATTACTTTGATCCTTGGGGTTCTCCTGGTCATTCTTTACTTCCTCTTCTACTTTTTTTGCGCTGTCGTGCTCATTTTCACTTGCTACTTTCAACTTGTCCTGTTCTTCCTTTAATTTTGCTGCTTCCATTTGTTTATTCATGGACATGATAAACCTTTCGTGTTTCTTCTTCTTTTTCTCTTCCTTCTTTCGTTTTTTGTCTTCTTTTTCTTTTTGTTCCAACATTTCCTGGAATCTTTCATCCTTTGCATCAATTTGAAAACCAAAGTGTTCACGAATTTCTTCCAACACAGCTTCTTTTCGTTGTTTTGCTTCAAGTAACTCTGCCTCTTTCTTGGCAATTTTGGCTTTCAATTCGGCTTCCCACTTGCCGAAATTGGCTACCACTTTGGCAATTTCTTCCTCTCTGAAATGAAATTGCATTTTTAAAAAACTTACGTACAAATGCAATGGATACTACGAAATCTATACTTTAACAGTTGACAAAATGAGTAGTAGCACGAGTAATAACAACTTAAACACAAATCAATATAGGAAATGTTAGACCATAAAAAATTGATGCATATTACACTAACAAAGGTAAATGATATAAATCGAAAAAAGAAAAATACCTCTGTTTAATTGTCAAGGCGTCTGCAATCTTTTTCTCTTCGATTTGTTTCCAAACTTCTTGAATTGTGTTTGGGTAAAGAACTCGCTCGTACTCCTTAATGTCCTCGACTTCCTCTTTGGTGGGCCAGCAGTACTTGGGATTAGCCATAGGATTGTTCATACCCCACGTTCCCAGAACTTTTTTCCTGTACCACACCTCATTGTGGTAATACTCCCGAGCCTCTTCGTAAGGAGCTTGACCATGCAAAATTTTGCGATGGTTAGGCTCAAGCCTCGACTTGTTTCTAATTATTTCTAGGTCGTCGACACTGTGTTTGGGTTCTACATCATAAACCGGCACTTCCTCGACTTCAATGTCACCCAACACGTCTTTGGTTGAAGCGTAAAAACGTTTTTGCAAACTCGTCAGAGTTCGAAAATTCAACGAACGTGTTTGAAGCATGCTTTTGCTTATAACGACAAACACTTTTTTCTTATAATTTACAGTGATTATTGATTATAACTCAGTATCCAACTTCCTGTAAAAAAGTCAAAAAATAACAATAATAACAACTAAGGTTAAGAAAAAATATTAACATCAACACTTGTGACATTTGGTACAACAAAAAAGAGCAACTAATTAATAATACAATAACGTAATAGCTTACATTAACTGATAACAATGCATTATTTGATGAAACGCATTTATATAAACAAAGTAAACGACATTCAACAATAGATTGTGTATACATATAAATATAATCGCTCAGTTTACGATCAGCGCCATCTAGCGTCATTCATTCTTTTTCAGTTTTTCAATTTTTCTCGGCTTTTTTTTCCGAAATCCGAATTCCGAAAAGTACAGGTTGACGCTAGCGCCGCGCCGACTATGCGGCGTTACTACGACCTACCGACCTACAAAACTTAACTGCTGGCAGCATATATAATATATGATATATTTGCGGAATACAGCCTCTGATTTTATCATTCTGGTAAAGAGAGCACAGTTTAAGATATGCATGAAGTTATATGTAGTAATTATAGTAATCACTTCTAAGTAATGCCATATAGTCGATTTTATTAAACATTATAAGTAGAATATCTATGTTTTTGGAGGTCGATTTTCGGGTAAAAAAAAAAATTGTACACTTGCCGCAAATAGCACAGACAATGACAACTTTTTATTTTCTACCTATCAGATTAGTTGCGGATGGTTTATAATTGATTACATGGCTCTACTGTAAGTAGTAATAATTATTTGGATCAGCGCCATCTAGCGGTCTTTATTTTTTGGCCAAAAGTGGCTCCTAAAATTCTCAATCAGAGCAAACATGATTGGAGCCATTTAATCAATTATAAACCAGCCGCAACTCGTGACGAAGCTATAAAGTAAAAAAATAACAATATATGTGTTTTTGGCGGCAAGCTAACAATTTATTTTTTACTAAAAAATCGACCTCCTATGTATTTATACCTTTGAAGATAAATTTTTGAGCAAAAGATAATTGTTAACTTGCCGCCAAAAACACATGTATTCTTATTTTTTTATTTTATAGCTTCGTCATGAGTCGCGGCTGGTTTATAATTGACTAAATGGCTCTAATCTTGATTGCTCAGATTCAGAATTTTAGGAGCCACTTTTGGCCAAAAAATAAAGACCGCTAGATGGCGCTGATCCAAATAATTATCACAACTTACAGTAGAGCCATGTAATCAGTTATAAACCAGCCGCAACTAATCTGATAGGTAAAAAATAAAAAAGTTGTCATTGTCTGTGCTATTTGCGGCAAGTGTACAATGTATTTTTTACCCGAAAATCGACCTCCAAAAGTATAGACATTCTACTTATATGGTTTAATAAAATCGACCATATAACGATGTAACAATTATAAGCTGCACTTAATTAGTAAATGAAATAGAAATCGTCTGCTTTGCAACTTGTGTGCGCGCTTTCGTGCACTCGTATAGTCACATAGTCACATTTTTCGCAAAAATCGGCAAAAAACCGAAAGACGCTAGAAGGCGCTAATCAACATAACTCGTATTTTTTTCATTCGTAAACAAATTCCGGAATGTCGATGAAAAAATATGGAAATTTTGAAATTTGCTTACAGCGCGGAATCCACCCCGATGGGGTTACTATGATCTACGTGTACACTGGCCGACAAATCACAAGATATTCGCGACCTCCCCAAATTAATTGAAACTACCTATCACCCTATCAGTGCACGTAAGCAAACTATAAGATGTGAAGATTGTAAAGTGGAAAATCATTCTTATTTTGGAGGGTTGCTAATATCTTGCTGGGGCTAGAGTTGCTGATGCATTTCATATATAAATGTCCATATATGGTTCGAGCTCGAGGGGTGAGCGCACCCCCAATATCCCCAATGCACATCAGAGCAGACGGCGCGCGCAAGCTATAATATATACATACATAGAGAGAGAGCAAGGGTGCAGACAGCAGGCTCGAGGCTCGGTGGTTCTTGGGGCAAGGAAAAGGGGAAAAATGCAGAGGATTAAGTACTGCGTGTCACAATTGAATGTAAAGCAGAGAGGGAGAACTGCTGAGCTATAGCCAAAATCAGTCCAAAGACGAATCCACAAGTAATAAGTATTATAGATTGAAGAAGACAAGGAGGAGAGAGTTAGTTCGACGCGAGACTGGGTTATTCTCCTCTGCCTCCCCCGCATCCGCCAGTAGTTCCGCCACTAACTGGGTATTATACTTACCTACCTCTAACAATAATATACATGGTATAGGTATAATTCATTTGCCTTGTGGTAGCTGTGGCTGCTGGTGTGTGTTCATTTGTCGCAATCTATTTTTGGGTGTCTCCTCTCCGTCGCCGACCTGTGCATGTATTACAACAATATACACACTCGCACATATTTGTATCGTGCAAGCACAACTGCAAGCTCGAAAGCTCGGGCCTTTTTTTCCACCTAATCGTCCGTCTCTCTCTCCTCTCTCTCGCAGCTGAATTTACACCTGTGCAGACACTGCAGACTGCAGTTTGCCCACTACTTATATACCGTAGGAGGGGTAGTAACAGCATTGCAGGATATATATTATACTAGCATCAGTGCCTATTGTATTGTATGTATACACCAGAAATTTTCCGGGACCAGCTCTCCCCCTGTGTCTGTGTGCACCTCTGCAACGGGTGCAGCGACCGAAGATGAAGTGAAGAAGAGAGCAGAAGACGTTATTATGCTCACGCGGTTCAGCCGCGACCCCGCGGGCTCCTAAAACCTAGCTCGGCGTCGTCTGCCCTCGGTCGTGCTTCTGCAGCGTTTCCCTGTGATCTGCGTATCCTGTGGTGACTAATTCCCTTTATGTTTAAAAGGGCAGAGAGCTCCCTTGCTTCTGAGAGATGCACGGATGATCCGCAAGAGCTGTACGACAGTGGCAGCAGCATCCCTTGGGACACCTGTTTTGGAGCCACTGCAAAATATCGCTGCAGCGATCAATGAAAATGATTGGCTCTCGAATTCCTGACTGCTACTGTCAGATTCATTATCTGCAGGGGAACGACGAAGGATCAGACGTGGACTATAACGAGTGTACGAGTACTGGTGAGCCAGGAAACAACAACAGTAGACTGTACACTGGTCTTGCTGGTGAGGAGGAGGATGCCTTTGTCGAGAAATGTCTGTACACTTGGAGTAATAAATGTTTGAGGAAAGACGGAGATACTAGATTAGACATTGGATCAGGGACCAAAAGTCACACGTCAGGCAATTGGCAGGGCAAAGTATCGAATGTGATCTCAGTGCATGTTATTACCATGATGAATCTTTGGAATGTGTTATTTTCTAGTGGAAGAAAACAAAGCAGGGTGCATCTTAACACCATGTGTCCCAGTTTCAGTGTGAGAGTATTTGTCGTTCTGGTGTGTCTAGTTCTAATTTTACAGTCACTGCCTTCAGCGGATGCTTCGGAGCCCTTGGGTAATCCGTACAAAATTCTGGGAGTTTCCAGACATGCAACGCAAAAAGATATACGTAAATCATACAAGAACTTAGTCAAGGAATGGTAAGCTGAGAAGGATCTTTGTTTGGAGCTCTAAGCTGAGAAAGAGTATCGTTTTTCAAGTCTACTTTCTAATTGCAGGCATCCAGATAAAACTGATCACCCGGCAGCTGAGTCTAAATTTGTCGAAATAACAAAAGCTTATGAGGTAGTTTACTGTCAGGCTATCGATATTATTAATTCATTTCGTGATTAATATTTTCATTGCCTTATCTTTAGCTTCTATCTGATCCTGAAAGAAGACGAAAGTTTGATAATCATGGAATAACGGAAGAAGGTATACCGAGATACAAGAGAGAAGAAGGTCATTTCAATATGCATGATCCGTTTGAAGAATTTTTTTCTGGAAACTTTAAATTCCATTACCAAAGTCGAGACATTTCTCTCTTCCATAAAATGAGCATTACATTCAGGTAATATACGTGTACATATTTACTTTTGTATGCAGTATTAATAATTTACAATAATAATATGTATTTGTGTCATATACCGATTACATATATGCATATTAGTGGTAAGGCAAATGCCAATTATTGATTTTTTACAAGTTAAAAAAACTTTCTCTTTGCAGAGCGTACGAGAACAATTTGTTACCGAAAAGCCACCGCACACCGTATTTAATACTTCTTTATTCCGACTGGTGTTTCTCTTGTTTGCAAATTGAGCCGACATGGCAGCGTTTGATCGAAGAACTCGAGCCTCTGGGTGTCAATCTTGTGACAGTTGATGCTGGAAGAGAATCTGCTTTAGCCAGGAAATTAAGCGTTCATTCCTTACCTTGTCTTGCTGTCACCATTAATGGCAAGACTAGCATGTTTAAAGAATCCGTATTTAGTGTGCAAAAAATAGTTGGTTAGTAAAAATTGATGCTATTTATTGTTCACTTTGAAAAATCAAAGCCTTGATTTAATGCTACATTTTAATATTTTTCAGAATTCTTGAGGAGTAAATTTCCGTATAAGCTGATCAATAATATCAATAACAATAATGTTGATGGTTTTTTGTCTGGCTGGTCTGACAATAAAATCAGAGCATTAATCTTTGAAAACAGAGAAACGCCAAGGCTGCGGTATTTAATCGTTGCTTTACACCACAGGGACAGAGTTGTGTTTGGCTTTGTTCAGGTATGTTCAGATATTTGATACTATTTAAAATACACGTATACCCGAATTTGATCATTCTAAGATTTAAATTTACCTAGCAAATGTCGATCTATTTCAAGCAAAGAATCCCAATCTCATGTTTTTTAATCTTTGAAATTCATATTTGCAACTGTAAAAAAAAAAAAGAAAAAAAAAAGAAAATTATGGTTTTTTAGACTGGTATCGAGAGCACAGCAGAGATCACAAGCAAATATAAGATATCAGAAGATATGGATACTCTACTGCTGTTCAATGAAAATTTGGAAACGCCGATGGCATCGATCAGTATGCACGATATTCCAAGCGACACGATGCACAACGTCATTGGAAGCAATAAATTTCTGATTCTGCCAAGACTTTCGAATCAAGCCATGTTGGACTCTGTTTGCCCGCAAGAGTGGCAGAGAGTACAGAAACGCTTGTGTGCCATTCTTGTATCGCAAAATACGCCCGAGCTAGATACAACGCGAAATAAATTCCGACAAGCAGCCTTGGTGTCCCCTTACAGGTGAGGATGTTCTTTTAATGCTAAAAAATGCTACAAAATGCCATAAGTGTATTGAATTGGGATTTTTTTCTTTCAGTCAAGAACGCGTGAGGTATGCTTACGTCTTTAAGGAGATGCAGCCTCAGTTTATATCGGCATTGTCTGCTGGTGAAGGTAGCCCTTCGGATCCACTGCATCATATCGTGATTATTTGGCGAAGGGATTCTAGTCACGTCAAGTACGATTGGTTCTCGTCCGAATGGACCACAGAGAATATCGACGACAACCAATGGAATGAAACTCGTCTTAGCTTGGAGCAAACGATCCAGAGATTATTGAGATCCACTGAAGCCTTACCATATGCTGCCACTATTCAAGAACTCACGGACGAACATGCTTTGGTAAAATATTCTTCTTTATATTAATCACAAAATGACGTGTGCATTTTCATCCGTCTGCATTGCCATACACTTTTCAGAGTATCTTGGAAAGAATCGTTAACAAGGTCATCATGGCAGGAGATTATCTTGCTGATAATCTCAGCAAAGAACAAGTTCTTCCCTTACTTTCTGTTCTTGCAACCTTATTATTACTCGTTGCCGTAGGCTATGGAATGTCGTATTTAGCGTGAGTACACTATTTTTTGCTTGATAACTTTTATGGCTTAAAACTTAAAGTTCTTGTTAATTACAGTAAATTAGAGGAAGCCAAGGTACAAGCAAAGTATGGTCAATTTAAGGATAGCGTGCGGTCTGTTACTGCTACGCCCCAGTTAAAGTTGCATGAGATGCGAGCCGAAACGTTTAATGGGCTGGTGCGGTTTTTAAAACCAGGATGTCGAACTATCGTTCTTTTGGTCGATGCTCAGAGCAAATTAAAACTGTTGCCATCGTTTCACAAAGCTGTTTGGCCATACAGGTAAGTGAATCACTTGCATCATTTTTTATTACGAAATGCAGTATTGAAGCGCCGTATTATTTCATCGTATTTTCATAGGAAGAATAAGACATTGATGTTCTGCCATTTATCTTTGGAACGTGGACTTGAATGGTACAAGAAAATATTGCAACTCAGTTTACCAGAACCAAGAGAACTCAACATTAATGCCAAAAATTGTGTGGGGACGGTTCTTTCGTTAGCTGGTCATCGGAAATATTTTTGTATGTACCATGCAAAGCATCCTGAAAACAGTAAAGGCAAAAGCAATCGGGTGGGTACAATGAAACTCTATTTATATCATCATAACATATCACTCGGTATTTTTTATTTATTTTATGGTTTTTTTAGCGAATGGAAAGAATGACTAAAAGATTAGCACAACCAGACGATGCTGAGGCTGGAGCATTTATTGGCTTTGACAGCTCAAGTGATTCCGAAGCCTCTCACGATGATGTGAGTTTTACAAAATTCAAATACTTTATTGGTAAGACTACATAATAAGTATTGTTGTCACATTGATCTTATATTCTTTCAGACGCACGATGACATTTTGTATCAAGATAAGCTATTAGATGGACTACCAATGTGGTTAGATAGACTATTTGAAGGATCTACGCAACGTTATTACATAAATTACTGGCCAGACTTTACTGCAAAATAAAAAAAAAGTGAGTTTAAGTCAAAATGTGAGTATTTGATGAACAAAAAAATGAAATGACAGAGAACATAAAAAAGTGATTGAATCAGATAAATAAAAAGAATTATGCTAGTCATGACGTGCGTATAAACTGCTGCTAAGATATTTGGTTCAATTCACCATTGTTTACACAGTGTTGTTTATTGACATTGTAATTATTATTATTATTATTATTATTATTATTATTATGATAATTGATACTGCTGTCACTGTTAATACGATGACTGAGTAATGTATATTATTTTAATGGTGTACAAAATAGGTCATTATAATTTAACGAAATCTCTACGTACAACTACAATTTGTTTTAAATTTAAGCCTTTTAAAAACTTATGTTTATCAATTCTGCGAAGGGTATATTTGTAATTGATACAGTTTTATAAAGAAAATGAAACTAGAAATATTGACCATAGATGAATAAGTAAATTATATTTCTAGTTCTAGCTTTATAAATTTTCCATCCAACTATCACGATCCAAAGGCTCGTTCGCCATTTGCATGTATTATGATAACTCACCAGGGATCTGTATAGTAGCTCATAAAATCATTTTAATGCCTTCAATTTTTTTTTTTTTTTTTTATGTTAGCAAATGTGTATTATTTTAACAGTCGATCGATGCACTTTTATTTATTATCTTCCATGTATTTTTTATGTAATATATTATAAACATATTTATTAACCGTTGCATATTGTACGCGATGATTGTGCAGATATTCAAATATGATTCGATCATAATCACGAATATAAATAAGTATTTATGAGCTCTACTAAATAATCATCTGCAAACTCATCAAAGCCTTTTGAACTAGAGAAAACAAATGTTTTATGGATTAAGTGATTATAATAAATGTTTAAAGAGAAATAAATATTACAAAAAATCTGCAAGTTTAAAAAATGAAAATATGTATCGTAGAATTAAATACTTGAAAATATATATAAAAGGTTTCCATTAATCATACTGAAAAAAAAACGAAAAAAAAAAAAACCAATGTTTAAGTCTACCAGTGCCTAGTCTGAAAACATTTGCGACTCTGTTACAAAACTTAACTGTAAGTCTCAACTTTTAAGGACTGGAATATTATTTAAATGCCAATTTTATCTACAAATCGATTTTACGAACGTATGTACCTTGCTTGTCTGTCTGCGTGTGATAAAACGTTTACCAAGTGATTCGTTGTTTTGATTACACCGATAGTTTACGTATAATACACACGATTGGATGTTCGTTTCTTTTCGGTCTTAATGATAACAGCAAAAAAAAAAAAAAAGAGTGAAATTATCGTTTGTATCAAAATGTGTGACTTGGAGTGCTTGATTACAAATAAACATTTTAAAAACGTTTGATAATGTATTTTTCATTGAGTCTATCCTATAATCAATCAAAAAAGGCAAAAAATTATCTTTTGTCTCTTATTCCAAAAATGTTTTCCCGATTAATTTTTCTCACTCGGGACTCATTATAATTTCCAATCGGTAAATCTACAGTGAAAATACAATTTCATTGTAAAATATTTCCAGCTGCAACTATCATTACACTTGAAAAATCATCGAGTTGAAACAGCGTAAGGCGGAAAAAGGCCGCTCCAAGGATCCTGATAACGAGATTTTGGTCTGCATCAAAAACAAGTGATTTAAACAATCATAAATGTTTAAAAATCCATAAATAATTGTACCCAAGTCTGCACGGAATGATGATGATGATATATTTTTTGTTATTTGCACGCCGGATAAGCCAAATGGAAAAGCAAACGATGCAAAATACGTTGTATCGATGTTTACACAAAAAAGTTGTGGCAATGGAGGCTCATATCCAGAGGTACCAAACGGTGAGAGTTCGATATTGGTATGTACTCGAAACGCGTACCGAAGTGACACACGGCATGTACATATTTATTGTACCGTAATGGGAGTGTGCGTAATATTAATAAACAGTGACCACAAGTGTACTGCACCCTCGGGAGCTTATAATGTTTCGCTTCGCTCGTTACCATGGAACGATCGATCGCGGGTGTACAGCCGAGCAAAGTATACCCTGCACCGCGGTAGTCCTAAAAAAGAAAGAGCCGTACGACAGTTCGATAGGTTGACACCAGCCGGGCATCCGTTACAAATGAAAATAAAAAAAGGAAACTCGGAACAATCAAGAAGGAAACATGTCGCGCGAGAGATCGGCAAGAAGATACTGATGTAATATACTTAGATACGGTGTGTAAAACAAGACAAGAGGTATACTTATCATCGAAGGAAAATGACGTTTGTCCTGACTCGGGTGGATTACGCGAGTGTGGGAGTGACGGCCCGGGGCACCACGCGCATATTTCCCGCGACCGAGCCAAAGGTGCCCCAGAGATTCGCCGTTGCCGATCAGGACGGAGTACTTTACATTTTCGGTAACCGATTTCTTTCTCATTCGTTTTGTTCCCTTTTATTTCTTTTCCCTCCCTTCCTCGTCGGTTAATGTTCTCAACGCCGACACACGACAGGGCTGAAGAGAGGGGAGTTCCAGGTGTTGTTCAAGTCACTGCCAGGAGCACCGGTGAACCGACTAGTCCTCGGAGGCACGGTCTCGGCACCCAAGGACAAGATATTCCTCGCCCAAGGCAACACAGTCACGGGGTACACGAAAAAGGGCAAGCTCTTCCTCGAATTCGACACAAGTCTCCTCGACACTATAACTGCGATGTAAGCACTTTCTTTTTTTTTTTTTTTTTTTCTTTTATATCCGACAAGGGGAAAACCAAAAAGTGGATTACATTTCTGTACACATGTAGGTACGTTTTGGGCTCGGATTTGGCGGCTTGCGCGCGAGACGTCTACCACCGGTACCGGGACTGCAAGGACGCCGATTCCTACCTGGCCGGGGAAAAGCTGTACGACGTCGTCCTCCTGCCGGTGGGCTCGGTCGTAGCTGTCCTCGCCTGTGGTGACTGTGCGGTAAGATTACAAGCTTCGCTATCCTCGGAAACTAACGCGAAAACAAAAATGAAATATGAATTAAATATAAAAAACCGACGAAATTAAATATGAAAAAACAAGAAATTAAAAAAATAAATAAAAAAAAAAAAGAAAAAAAAAAAAAAAAAAAAAAAATTAAAAGAAACAAAGGGACGGGGTAAGGGGGGAAACTTGAGAGGAAGAGTAAACCACTTCCGTTTCATAAAATCTGTCGGTTTTAAAATATTTTAAATTCCAGCCCCCCGAGACATAAAGAACTTCGTTCTAAAAAGAAAAACAATCCTTTTTCAGATCAGGGTACTGTACGGGACGAGGAGTCCAGCGGTCCTGAGGCTACCCAGCGTGCCGACTACGCTGACACCCTACAGGTGAACATAATCGTCGTAAATAACACTGACAATTAAAAGACAAAAAAAAAAAAAAAAAAAAAAAAAATGTATGCACAAAGGGAAGCGGAGCTGGACTCGACGGACCGCGTCCTCGTGGGCACGATGGACGGGAAAGTCGGCTTGCTGATGCTGGACAGCGACAAGAGTCTGCGAGTCAGCTGGATATTGAACCGAGCGAGCTCGGAGGTCACGTCTATGGACACGTTTGAGCTGCAGGACGGTGTGGATTTGATCGTCGGCAGACAGGACGGCACCGTCGACGTTTACACCCTGCCCGAAGACGAGGACGTCGAACCCATGCTGAGATTTCATTACGTAGATAATAATTGTCCTTTTTTATTTATTTATTCAACATATACATACAATGATGTACATGTATCTTTTGGACACGTGCTTCGTTGCAGAACGCGGGCGAGAGCATAAGCACAGTCGTGGGTGGTTTCGTGGGCTCGGGCGAGTACTCGGAGCTGCTGGTGACTACGTACTCGGGTAAGGTGTTTGGCCTGACGACGAAGCCGGCCGGTCTGATCGAAGCGGCCGGTGGCGAGGGAAACGTTGCCCGGCTGAGGGAAGAGATCCAGCAGCTCGAGGCGGAACTCAAGAAGGAGTTTCCCAGCTCGATGGGGCTCGGGAACCAGGACAGCCTCGCGCCCGTCGTCATGTCCGTGAATCATCGGTTGGTGCGATTCGTATCGGTTTTCTTTTCCTTCGTGGGGTTCGTATGGTGGATGATTGACGCGAGTTTTCAGATTGACCCTGAACAAGGAGGGCGCGTCGTACCTCTTCACCGTTGAGTTGGACAGATCGATCGACAACGTCCTGATTCAATCTGACACTCCGATCGAGCTGTTGGACGTCGAGGGCAACAACGCCGTGATGAGCCTCTCGACTTGCGATCCCAACGAGGGGAACTTTGTCCTCGCGACTTACCGCTGCCAAGTGAGTTTGTTCATGGATTTTTTCAACGCGTGAGTTTATTCATTTATTTTTTCTTTCTTTCCTCTTTAAGGACAATACCAACAGGTTGGAGATAAAACTGCGGAGTATCGAGGGCCAACCGGGCACGCTTCAGGTGTACATTACCTCGCAGGTAAATTGTTGCAACGTTCTCGTTTTTTCACTTCAAGAGATGCAAGCAAAAGCAGTGGCGATTCTTGTAGATCCAACCAAAATGCTGCCGTAGGATTCTGGTGCCGATCTGTGCGCTGTCGCTCCACGCGAGATTACACGTCGACGACAAAGAATCGATCGTAGGTGGACCGTTTAACGAGCTGCGATTGACCGGTAGTTTTTCGATGGCCGAGGTGCGCTGCTCTGTTTTTTTTTTTTTTTTTTTTTTTTTTTTTCAATCTCTCATAGTCATTATATTTTCATTTCTTTTTCGTCAAAGATGCACGCGTGGCTTGCCCTCGCGTTGCCCGACGTGCCTGAAAGACCAAGCGTGCGGGAAGAGGAAACCGAGGCGTCGATGATCTACACGTCGACCTTCATCGGCACCGTCTTGAAGTGCAGATACAAGTGAGTCCCGAGCGTCGCTCAGCTCAATTGGTCAATGTTAATTTTGAAACGGCTTTCAGAAAGAGCAGCGCGACTTTTCTCAGCGAAAACATATCGACCATCATCATCCTGAGGGACCTACTCACGAAAGAGGCGACCAAGCGAAAGATCAAGCTCGACGTGTTTTGCGGTAAGCGCTATTTTTGTCTTGAAATATTGAGTACAAAACTTTTTTTTTTTTTTCCTTCAACCCGTAGACGTAGCCGAAGCGAGCGTGTCCAGAGTTTTGGAGCTGGTGATGCCTCGTTTGAAAGAGGTCAGCGAGCTCACCGAGAAGATAAAGATCTTGGACGCCCTGGAGACGTGGGAGATGAAGAGCAATCCGTCAGAATTGTGCTCAGAGTACCAGGAGTTGGTGAGATGCGAGTCCGAGTTGCGGGAGAAAATGTTAATGAACTCGAACGCCCTGCAAAGACTGCACGCTGCTGTTACGGATTTGTACGTTGACTGGGAACGGGCCAAAAATTCTCGAAGGTGAGTTCGATCGAGTGACGATTATCGTTCGATGACCTATATAGCTGAAGATGTAATTTCGTTGTTTTCGCAGAATTTCCAGCAAACAGGCGGCACTGAAACTGCAGGGTGCGCTCGATTTGATGGACGCGACGATGCTACTCGGGGCTTTTACCATCACGGATTCTTCCATGGCTCCTACCGTTTCAGTACCGGCGTTGTTGCAATAGGAATATATGAGGACCAAAGGAACAATGATTTTTCCGCAGATGTTACCATGTAAAAAAAAATATATTTTTCAACGTTACGTGTATAAATCGCTAAATTGTTTCAAGACTTTAAACGTATATAAATTATGTGTATACATATGGCTGCTATTGTGTATATATTACATCGTAAAATGTTTACTATTGATGGTGAGTTATTTTTTATTTTTTCTTATGCTATGCCGAGGATGTTTGTATGTACATAGGTATTGGTCGCGCAAAAATAAATGGAAGATTAACTTGTGTACTCAAGGCGACAAAAAAAGTAAAATAACAATCTAAATTTTCATCATAAATATGACCGTGGCAGACTTATATTCTATGGATTTATACAGTATATTTTCGATTTTTCGAAAATACATTCATACAAAAGAGAAAAATATATAAAACCACTGCTTTCTATCCATGGACATGGATTATTTTTCGACAATTTGTCCTGGTCTATTTTTGTCCTATGACCGATTTATGTAGGTATTTATCTTACATATTTCAGTTATATAGTCTATTGTTTAACATAACCTTATTTTCGAAATTAAATAAAAATTAATTTCGTCCATCATAAAACAGACAAGGATTACAATCTCTAGAAAAGAAAAAACTCTTTCAACCAGTTGAATTGCACTCAAGTTCGTTTCGACGATTCATCATCAGTCAATTTCACAAGTTAATGGTGTAGAGTTGCATATCAAAGTTTCTGTAAACAGAGATCCAATAAAATTAAGTTACACTCAAGGAATCGGACCACCGGCATGACAATTATAAAACGACAAATCATCTACATGCATCTTTTTTTTTTCCAAGCAAGTAAATTTTTGTCAAAAAGTAAAACAAAACTTACAGTGTATCTGCGTTGCGAACAACTTCCGTACTAAGGGGATCCCTGTCGTTTGATTGAGCCTGCGCTTCATTGACAGTTGAGTAAGAAACGTGCGGCAAAATGCTTTCCGAACTATCTTGATCAGCGGCCACAAGCTCGATCGTTTTTCCATCATCCTCGCTGCTATTCTCGGTTTCTGTAACATATTGTTTTACCCTTGATTTAGATCAGACACAACCCTTGGGTAGAAGAAAAAAGATTTCGTCATCGGCTCTCACCAGTCGTCTGATTCTTGGTTGTGCCTTTGGCTTTTGGACGCTTGGTGCGATTTTTAGTGCGCGAGTGCGTGAGCATGTGTCGCTTCATATCACTTCGCACGCGGAAGGGCTTTGCACACACGTCACAGGGATGAGGCTTTTCACCCGTGTGTATCCTACGATGATTTTGTAGGTAGCTACTGGCCCTGAAAGTTTTGTTACAGTACTCGCAACGATAGTTCTTTTCACCGGTGTGAATGCGCCTGTGCACTATGAGCGAGTACTTGCGCGCAAAGTCCTTGCCGCAATACTCGCACTGAAATTGACGTTGTTCCGAGTGCAAGCTCGTCGAGTGGTACTTTAAATCGCCCCACTGTCGGAAGTGACGGCCACAATCTTCGCACTTGTATGGCTTGTCTCCGCTGTGCAGTCGCTTGTGAACCTGGAATTACACAGTCAAGGGTTGAGTATTTGAGGCTCGTTATAAATACTATTGCAGCTCTGCAGAAAAGAGATGGCCTGACTTACTTTTAACGCACTTGCTGCGTAAAACCGTTTTCCGCAAATTTCACACTGGTGTGGTCTTTCTCCGCTATGCGAGCGCATATGATACACTAAACTATTTTTATGTTGAAAAGTTCGATCACAGTTTGGACAAGTTAATTCACTAACTGTAAAAATCATCAATCATTGGAAAGTGATTAAAACTACTCATACTTTAGACGTTTATGATCGGTAACATACCTGGTTTTTTAGGCTTGGCCTTCTTTTTCTTGACGGGATCTGGAGGCTTTGGCTTTTCATTCTCAACTAAATCTTCTTTGTTAATAGTAGAAATTTCTGAGTCCCCTTGTTCAACCTGCTGAAATACATCGGATGACATGGTCCAAATTGAAGGACCATTGCTTGAATCTTGCAGCGAATTTTCATTTATATCATCGTCTTCATCATCATCAATTTGGGCTCCAGTTTCTTCCACTGTGAAACATCGAAAATTATTATTGCTTGAAAAAAAGAAAAAAAGTAAAACTAGGAATTGAAATTAACATCACAATACATGTAAAACGTACCAACATCCCTTATTCCTTCCATTATATCTTCAGGTTCACTAAATTCTTCAATTGTATTTTCTACCCTTGGAACTCTTGACTCGGGTATTTTAGGCATTGTTATGGTTAAATTATTATTCACAGGATTGTTAAAAAATTTCTTCTCTTCTTTAACAGGTTCGTAGTGCGACTGTAAAAAAATATACTTAATTAAATAAATCTCTTGAATTAAAACAATAAGTAATAATTGATAATTGTAGGATTTTATTACAAGTGAAATTTAAACTATTTTCCACTACACCACACCGTTCAAAGTCATTGGATATTCGAATTCTGCTTTTAAATACAGTGTAAAGTTAATTTTTTTAATTACCTTGAGATGTTCAAAAAATTTCAGTTGTCCGTTGAACTTATTTCCACAAAGTTCGCACTTAAATCCACTTCCTTGAGTTTTAGAATCTGCAGATACATCTGAATTGGCCTTAGCACTATCCTTTTTCACAGAATTTTTTTTACTTTGCCGCTTCAATTTTCTCGGAATTCTTTTCTTATGAGGTAATGATCTTTTAGGACCAGGAGCAGGTACTGCATCCTCGCTGCTTTCGGCAGAAATATCAACATCATCTTCGCACTTAACATTAATGAACTCTTGTTTAACCGATTGCATTTCCCTTTTGAAAGTTTGCATAACAGGATAAACCGGAGGAGGAGGATTCGGTTCTTGTAATGTTTCAATTGTGTAGGAATTGACGGTAGGTAAACTTTCTAATTGCGCAACACTTTCCAACGTAGTGTCATCCGGGGCTGGATGACTGTGTAACTGTTGTTGCTTTTGTTGCTGCTGCAATTGAACAGCTACAAGTGCTGCTGCCAGTCTTCTATCCTCCTACACGTAAAAAAATATGTTTGCAGTGAAAGAAAACTAATCAATCAATGAAACTCGGAAATAAATAATGCTCACCTCTGTGAGTTCGTGGGGCAGTAAATCATCAGTCTCATAGTATTGAGTGCCTGCGTTGTAGTCTTGGTTGACACCATTGATCATGTCAACAACCATCCCTTCCGAAAGGAGTTCCCCACTCAAGGTAAAAAGTGGAACACCTTTACCAAGACTTTCCCCATCAGCTCTCTGTATCGTTATGTACTGAGTTCCTTCCATGCTTTCCAGCAGAACAGCTTGAGCCTCCTCTTCCGTAGTCACCTCCATTGTTGCTCGATGAGAGAAAAATCCTCAATACCCAAGCTCTACCCACTTCAAAACCATCTCTGCAATAACAAGGCAAAAAGAATGCTCAACAATTGTACTTCTGACTGTTCTTATCGTCGCTTATCGAAATGATCGATACGTTAAAGAAACAACAGCTCATGGCCAAATATCTCAATAAATACAATAACAAGTAAACAAACTCACATCAATTTGTTTTTTCCTTCCCTTACGCAAGCACAACAGCAGGTGGAAGCATGACATCTGCCAGTAGGACGAATCCTTGGTCTCGGGAAAACCCGCTGGATATCATGTTTTTTCTGTAGCTCCTTTTGACGAAGCTACACCAACTCCTCGGAGGTGACTGTTGGTCAAATCACCGGCAAACGATGACGAGGAGTGACAGCAAAAGAGAACCCCAAGGTCACGGGTACGGAATTCGGCTAGGGAGCTAGCATGATGTTCACGAAGGGGTACGTGCTCGGTGTGTGGTCACCACTGGTTCAGCACTAGCCGACTGGGCATTCTGGCGCTATCCCCCCACCCAGAACATGGTCCAGCCACTCCAGCCTCTCAAATGCGACACGCCAACCGATGTATTAGGTACTCGAGTTGGTATAAACAAAGCCAAATGAAGACTGTTAAAAGAGAAGAACTTGAAGAGAGTGTGTGTGGGTGTAGGTGTTTTGTTCTTTCTTTATTCTTTGGTTGGATACTTGGATAGGATGGCGAATTACACACACTTTTTGGAGTTTTTTGGGGCGACTCCGTCTTTTTTCCTTTAGAGAGCTGTTGTCTTCTCTGTCTTGCTTTCAAAAAATGTGGTGACGTCCCTTTCTTATGCTGGGCTGCCAACAACACTTGTTTGCGACGCCATTGATCGATCGGAAGACCGGATCGGATAATACACCAATTACACCTGTTCTTCTCTTGTCTCGTCCGCATCAGAAGAAGAAGCACAAAAAATATTACGCGGGGGCGGGGGTTCGCGTTAGAGCTCTGTCGTGTACTACATACCTATACCTACTTGGATTGTTAGAAATTATGCGAAAAATAGTGAATAATATACTTAATGCGATAGTGTAATAATTTGTGTTGCAGGTGGTATTCATGTTTTATTTCACAGGTTTGCCAACAGTGTAAAAAAATACGTAGCGCCAAATTTGATCATCATTTCGGAGACTTGGGTGATATGTTATGGAAAAATCTATTTTTACTAAATATTTTGTAATCGCAAACAATCAAAAATTACCACCAAAGTTTATTTCATATACCATTGAAGAAAATTTCAACCGTCTATTACTTTGCTATTGTTAATTGAAAATAACAAAAGTAACGGAGTTTTTGATCTATAGATTAAACTTTTTTGAGTTTAATCAGTTACGTATAGGTCTTTTTAAATAATTATCACATCCGTCGATTTTAGAACGAGACGAGATAATGAGCAGACGACTTTTAAATTATTGTAAAAATATTTCATGGATATTTATCAACAAAGAGTGCTAGCAGAGAGCTAAAAACATTTATTAAAAAAAAAAAAGAAATCGGAAAATAAGAGTACCTATTTTACAAGTTATATGATTTTTACGCTACTTGCAAAGGCATTTATTGAAGTGTAAAATGAAGGTATACATTTCAAAATTGAAGAAGCAACAAGAAAATTACATTCTTTTAGTACAATTATTCGTATGTTTAATACACGCGTGTGTATTAAACCCCATGTGTAACATATGTAACTTTCGCGTGACATTTCATTTTGGAGCAACGAAGGATGAACGAATAAGGTGCTGCACTGCAGATCAGTCGTCAAACGAGCACTGTGCTGGTCGCAGTGAGTAAAAAAAAAAGTCCTTTCACACGCACATTCGCGTACGTAAAATTGTACACAGATGATATACAATAAATTAATATATACTTACATCCCTAATACTACGTACGTATATTTCGTTGTTCGGATTACCGTGTAATTGAATAATATGCATGAGAACCGTAGGTATTACAAGTGTACATACGCCAGTGAAAAAAAAAGCGACGAGCGTGTCTTTCACCTCAACCGTATAAGATAAAAGTCATTCGATTCAACGTCCACGCATCAGAGTGACAGACTCCTGTGTCCGTATTGCAGTATTACGGATGGAGTTTTACTTATCTCTCGTCTCTATCATATCCCTACAATTTATATACCAACAAAGGTGAGCTGAGTGCTTCATTGTGCTCTCTCCTGATGCCCCTGATGGTGTCCTGGTGTCATCATCATCGGTACAGCTCACGACTGTACCTATACCCTATACAGTATTAAAAAAAAGGAGAGGAGAAAAAGAAGTTTTGTCGAGTACATCGAACTTTCCCCCATCAGCTGATGTGTTAAGTACTTACACGTACAACCTAGCTTTTATTCGATCATCGTGAAGATCAATTTATTGGAGCTACATTGGAAGAGCCAATTAATAGTAGATAGTGTCAGTGTGTGTGTGTAATTCATTTTATTTGCCAAGTGAAGTGCGTGTGTAAATGAAATTCGGTTGCGCATACATATTTATATCATCGTTTAGTATTTTACATACAAATATATATATATATATGCTGCAGTGCTGCATAAGAGAGAATTTGCTATCTATTTTTGTGTATATTAATTATAAAGTTTACTTATTTGCGCCTATGTCCTTCAATCTTGACGGCTGCTGGAAAAACTCAAAGATATAGACTCTCGCATTCATGCGCGGAGCAACGGCTAATAAATGTGTAAGTTTATAATATATACTTACGTCGGTGTGTGATTTGAAGCGCAATTTTTTTTTATTTTTAACTTCATTATTTACACGTACACTTAACACATTATCAACTTTGAAATTCGAGAACTTACGGTCGTTGGAGCGACCTTAACATCATTTAATTAAAAACCACGTATAGCAATCATAAGAGTATTGACGTCATTATTATTATTTTCCTACTTGCGCCAACTCTTTTCTAGTACTTGCAAGTATATACTTAATGTAATGTCATTATCTCTTTAATTAATTGTCGCGCCGGCGATAATAAATAAGGCCGTCGATTTGGTATTTTGCACGATAAGCTCACACGTTTTGTTATCGCTTTAGCTGATGATGATAGGTATATATTAAATCAGCTATATTATTTACCGTTTGTGCTTCTGATTTGTAGATTTTGCTTTCAAAGTGTCTGCAGTCAATATATCAAGAAACATGTAGATATATTATTGTTCAGGTATTGTTGTGTTGACCTCCTGCGCTGATTTATACATTGGTTTTTTTCTGTCCTCAAATAAATATTTTTTTTTTTAAACGTAGTTGATTTTTTCAGAAACAAGATGTATGTATGAATATACGAATAATTCACGATTTAACAATAACAACGGATATGGTTGGAATAACTTTTTTTTATTGGTATTTCCGATTTCAACCACGTAAAATATTACTGAAAAATAGCGCTATTTATATTTTAACATAAAATGTTTTAATTAACATTATTATACTATTTTATGTTTCCACTTGTACATTTTAAATTGTTATATTTACGATTATAATCATTGTAACACGATAATGCCATATTTTCGCTATATCTTAACTGATATTTTATCTTTTATGTATTTTAATTTATGTATATTTATTATCAATTATAACGCACGCCTTTCCTGCTCAATTTATTTTATAAACTGTGTATTTAATTATTTTATTAAGTGCATAGTCTGTATGTAACAATCTATAGTATATTATCCGTTAGGGGTGATGGAGAAAGAGAATCGCGTCAACTTGTTCTGTATGCACCGTATTTTATATTAAGCAAATAAATAGCGGAAATACTAAAAATAGTAAAAAGTGGTAGTAACAAGTTGACACGGTTGTAAAGGCACAGGATAGAAGTAGACCTTGAAAAAATACAGAGACAAAAATTTGTTTTCCCGGTAATATTATTTGATGGTATAATAAGGCTCACGTACAGAGGAGAATAATATTTTTCCATACCTTTTCTTTTAAATAATAATTGTTTTTTTATTTATTTTAGTCCCTTATTTTGTATTAAAAATTTGTTATGCTTTTGCACACGATTATTTATGTTACCATCGTTTTGCACTTCACAAAAATCGTATAATTTTTTAACATTACAGGATGCAAAAGTTCTGATGAGAAGCATGCAGGTGTGACAGTAACCTTGATTTGAATAGAAAAAGAAAAAATGGGTAATTTTTGTCAACACTGGCGTCTCTGGATCTTGCCAGTGCTGAGTTGCTTGTACGCCATACTGATTGTTACTATTGTGCCGGTGTTGGTTGCCAACGTTATTAAAGATGGACTCAAAAAACACGATCAAAGTGCTCTTGTCGGAGGGGCATTTGTTCTTCTTGCTCTTCCAGTTGCTTTTTACGAAATTATCCAACACATGATCTATTTCACGCAACCAAGTCTTCAAAAATATATTATAAGGTATACATAATTTATTATTCAAAAAACTTTTGCTAATATTTTATATATGTATAATCCATTGTACGTAATTATTTCAGAATTTTATGGATGGTGCCGATTTACGCGATGAATGCCGTACGTATTAATATTTTATGAATAAAGAAAACAAAGCAACAGAAATTCTTTTTTTTTTTTTTTTCTTTTTCAACAGTAAAAGGTTTACTTTTTACACTTGTACAACGCTATCGATTATTTTTTTCAGTGGCTTGGCTTAGTTTATCCAGAAAGCAGTATATACGTGGATTGCATAAGAGAATGTTACGAGGCCTATGTCATATACAATTTCATGAACTATCTGTTTGCTTACCTAAACTCGGACAGCCAATTGACTCACAGATTAGAAATGGCACCCCAAGTTCACCACATGTTTCCCCTGTGTTGTCTCCCGGACTGGGAAATGGGGGGTGAATTCGTTCATATGTGCAAACACGGTATTTTGCAATACACCGCTGTACGGCCTATAACTACTCTAATCTCGTTGTAACTATTACATTTTTACTACATCACTTTTTTCGCTTTTACATGTATAACTACAAAAATACGTCTTGAAATAATTTTATTTTTTCTTACAGCATTTGCGAGCTAAATAATGTTTACGGGGGAGGAGAATTCACATGGGACGTTGCCTTTCCCTACATGATCGCCATTAACAATTTATCTCAATTTATTGCTATGTATTGCTTGGTTCTGTTTTACCGTGCCAACGTCGATGCCCTCAAACCCATGAAGCCATTGGGCAAATTTTTGTGCATCAAAGCTGTTGTTTTCTTTTCGTTTTTGTAAGCGTGAAAATTTGCATTATTTTACACCTTTTATTCAATTATACGAAACAAAAAGTATAAACCATTAAAAAAATATATATATACATTGTATCCCTCTTCAGTCAAGGAGTGCTGATTACAATGCTTGTGAATTTTGGAATTTTGTCGAGTATTTTCGACACTGACGATACAGCAGACATCAAAGACATATCCGGCAAATTGCAAAACTTTTTAATTTGCATAGAAATGTTTCTAGCCGCCGTGGCACATCACTACAGCTTTAGTTACAAGCCTTTCGTTAACTTGGCCCAAACTCAATTCTGGTGGGATGCTTTCAGGTAATTATGTTTTTTCCATTGGTAAAATTCACATTTTTTTTCTTTCTTTTTTCCACACGAACGAGTATCTGTTTTTTAGACAAATGTGCGATGTGTCCGATGTGCATAACGATATAAAAGAGCATCTCGGGGTCGTCGGGTCTTCGTTGAGTCGAAGAATACGAGGTCGTGGTACGTACAATCAAACTTGGAGTAGCGTTAACGAGAGGACGTCTCTTTTACCCGATGGTGTAAAATCCGTCGAAATAGCTGGTCAAACTCTCGGTTCAAATGAGTCTATTGATGTGACGATCGAAACTCCGTCGAGCAGCGGACGCAACACAGTAAACACGTAGTAGTTGTCCTTTTTACGTCTCGGGCAATGAAGTGATTTTCATAGACAATGCGATGAAATAATGCCGAGGCCTTTATTACTATTCGATTGATTTTTCATAACTGTTTTTAGTTGAATTATTCGTTTTTATCGTTACTGTTGTTCTTAGACATCCCGTAGCCCTGAAATATCTAGCTAAATTTATTCTACGTACTATATGATATTGATCTGCGGGTCGGTCTTCTTGATAATACACGTACATATCTGTACAGTCAATAATTAAAATGATTCGAATAGCTAGAACTAGATATTGGAAAAAATTATTTCGAATATTTTCGTAATATGACTCTACATAATGAAAAAAAATCTAACGTGATGATTAGGTAAAATTTGAAATCTCCAAGGCATTTTATGTTGCGTTAATTTTCTGTGATAAATTTTCTCAACTGTTTGAAAATTATTATTGAAAGAAACTAATAGGCTTGTTTTTGCATTTATAACGAGCGAATGCGTAATAAAATATTTCAAAAATACAAAAATTAAATTTTTATTGCATATTTCTTGTTGTGTTCTATACTTTATATCCGTTTTAGTTGTTTTCTTAAACATTTTTACGCCAAAAACAAATAAATAAATAAAGTACAAGAATAAAATTAATTTGGCTACAGAATGACGTGATACATTACAAATAAATATAATGATTACACTTTGGTAACTTGAGCTTGCCACTCGGCCTAAACCTTCTAGATGATTAAGGGCTACTGTTGCTTTAGTTTCTCTTTTTTGTAAGAAGTTACTTGTGATAAAACAATAAAGTCATAATACCGTTAATCTAGCCAAGTCTGTTTGGAAAAATAAAGTAATTTTTAAGAAGTCAAAATAAAAATGCGTGAAACGGTACTTCCTTAATTATCATTAGTCCAAAAAAACGACACGAATTTTCAAACATTACTGAATAAGTAGTTCGTTAATTGGCTAGGATTTTTAAGATGGTAAAACAATCATTCAAAATTTTTTGTTTGTATAGTTATTACAGCAGATAAGTCTTCTCATGAAAATTAATCTTTATAATACAGTATGTAAGGATGATTTATGACTGAAATTCGTTGAAAGTTTAAACTTTTAGTGGCAGCCTCGTATTGTCCGTTCTTAAAGTCAACATAGGTTGTCATTTTATTTCACCTATGCATTGACTTTTAGAATTGCCCTTAAATTACACACTTTTCATAATTTTTTAACCAAAGATTGAAAAATTTGTACAGATGCTGCAATTGCAAATATGTCGTAGAACTGAATGTTAGCTTTAACTGTTTTTCATATTTTTTTATAAGTTTTCAAATCATAAAATAGCCGAAAACGAAACATTTTTTTTTTTAACAGAGTTATATTTTAATTTGTAATATGTATTGTAATTGCTTCCACGGTTATAACTATTTTATGATATATTAAACTTTTTATAATTACACACTCCATACAGGTATTTGTAGTCATTTCAAAAAAAGTCTTCTATTATTATAAGAGAAAATAATAATTGTATAATAAAATACATGGTGTTTAAGATTGCTTGTTGTATTACATGTTGATGGTGATGTGTACATAATATTTATAAAAATTATAAAAATAAAAGCTCAGGTGTAAATTTTTAAAATATCAGTCATTAAAATTTGTTTTTTCAATTAAAAGAGGTGGTAACAATTTTTTTAGACACATTGCACTCTACGAATAACCCTAGACAAATTTTGTAACATGTTGGAATTAAAAAAAAAAAAAAAAATGTATAGTTTTTATAAGACATTATCCCAAGTATGAATTCTTTGTCTAATGTAAATAATGCGTGTGAAAATTATTTTTGTAACCCATTTATTAAAATTTATTAATCATAAAATTTAAAAACTGTCATTGTGGTCAAATAACATATACTCAACAACACACAAAACAATTGTAGTAATTTTTATCGTAAAATAGCAATTAAGTCGGGATTTCTCTTCAATCGTTATGATATTCACCCTTTTGAAAGTTAATTTCACGATAGTTTTTCTGTAAAAATTTGTGTTATGAACCATGTCCCAGTACGCAAAGAACGTAGTTTGACGGTAAAAATTATTATAATTTTTTTTTCTTCGTGTCCTACTTAAATAAGCGATTCCAAAGATACTTTAAATATATTTTATTTAAAGTTAATAATATTTTTACGATTACAATCGTTAAGTAGCCACTGTAGTTTTGTATAGTTGTGAATGTAAACTTGTAAATATGTATTTAAAAATGTAGTAATAAATTGTTAATAAATTATTTTAGTATTCCTGCATGTTTGTTAACATCTTTTTATGAGCCCAATACAGCAGCTGTAGATGCATATCATTGTACTTTATTGCTTTATGTTTAAATACATTTATTAATACACAATAAGCTTCATACAAAACACACGGTATTTGAATATTAATAAAGTACTATAGCTCACCTCTTACTGTTATCCGTACACAAGAAAATTCAACTATTTTTCAGTTCACTCATTCTTGTGAAATGACTTATAGACATATCGAATATCTGAATAAAATTTAAAATACTTTGCAAGGTGTGAACACGTGAATCTGACTTTTGGAACGTATGCAGTTGTCAATTCTCCCCCTTTTTGTTTCGTTATCATGCTATAATAATTTTATTTTGATATGTATATTTAATAAATAAAAGCAATTAATGATCAAATAATCGATTATCCATATATGAGTATGTTTCTGCTGCCGCATGTTTTTTTTATTAATTATGCAAATGTCCAATGTTGAAAAAAAAAAAAAGATAAAGCTGTGCTGTCTCTATTTGGGAAACAGCTGGGACACCGAGACATTATTGGAGAACATCAGCTCGTTGACAAATCTGGGAAGGCGCGAGTTCATGATTTCTCCCATGATCGGCTGCAGTTCCTCGGCCATAAGGATGTCACCTTAAATAAATGCGATTTATCGGTAAGGGTACAAGTAGATAATAACACGACGGTTTTTAATGAACTCTATCACCCCCACCCGCAATACTTACCGTTGCGCATTTCGCCATTGTTGACTTTGATTTTAAACTGATCGACGGTCCATTTGTCATTTTCCACGTGACCGTACAAACTCCAGGTACTCTTTAAATCGGTGGTACTCGTGTCGACGTGCCCTACAAAAGTTTTTTGTTGTAAGGTGAAAATAATTAAAAATCCTCGACACTGGTCGTATATATGTATATTTGTCGATGTACATTTTGTAAATTTCGTTTGGATGAATGATTCAACTGTGAGCTGTAGCTAATATAAGAGAATTTTACACCGATTCGTTAACTAGGATGAATAAAAACAGATTCTGGTGTTGCCAAACGCAGTTATCCAGCTTACCACGACTGCTGATGTTCAGGCTGCCAAAGGAGCCGCCGCCCTCGTAGTCCATCTTGGCCAGCAGGCGAGGTAGTTCGACGTCGAGGTCGAGCTTGACGCTGTCGTTGCCAATCTGCGGCCTTGCCTCTAAAACTTTGAGTTCAGCTAAACCTCGAATCTCCAGGTTACTCAACGCGAGGTGGTCCTTGAAGATTTCGACGGTGTCCAGTTTGTACGGGTCCAAGCTTGGATTGTCTGCAATGATATGATTCAGTTGTTGGGATGATATTTATACATTCAATCGATAATTACACGTAAATCGTTGTGAGGGAGAAAATGTGTATGCCTTGGAAATATGTTGACCACCAGTCTTGAATGGCAGTCTTGAGGCACGACGAGTAGTTCTCGTCACTCTGCTTGCAAGTTTTCAAGTGTCGTACTGTTGACAAAACATTGATTAATTCACAATGATTGTTATTAAATGTAAATGATAAATACCGATTTCGTAATGGTTTTTCATTTTTGATTAATGCTTAATTGAAACGTGTATAATTTTTTGTTGGATTGGATAAAAACTTACCCAGAGAATCCTCGTTGGCTTCAACAGTAGCAACGCAGGAAGCTCGAGCCGCGAGAAAGACGCAGAACAAGATACGAAGGTAGATCGGTGACATGGTCACATGAAATCGGTATTCGGTGTTCTCGATCGGCACTCTGTCGCTCTTTATATATCGGTGAGATTTTTTTTTTTTTTTATTCGAGAGGGGATGTACCTCGTGCAAAAGCAGTCCGAGATTTCTGGGTTCTTTGTCGAGTTGTTAATGGAGCTTGTTTATTTTTTCGATTTGAAACAGTCAACAAGTGGAAATACGTTTAACTCCATTTCAGTAGAAAGAAACACACCGTTGAAAATGTATAATTCAATTGAATAAATCGTTGCTGCACAGTGGGATCAAGAGTGTTGTAAAGAACATTAAATTTAATGTAAACAGTGTGCCACGATTCAAAACTGTACAATTTATTTATAATATATGTTGCCTTTTACAGGACTAAAAATGAAATGAATGAGTTAGTAGGGATAATAAATCACATGAAAATATATTTATTTTATTACAGCCTTTTTATTAAAAATCATGTTTTTTATATTTTTAACATAATATATACGCGCGTAGCGATTAGTATTGTACCCTAACGATTTAACTGTCTACCTTTTTACGATTCACGATACTAGACTGCTAAATATATTTTTATCAGAAATTAAGGTAAACTGTTAACAAACCAAATTTATGTACAAAGGCATATTGATTCAAAGTTTCGAAAATCATCACAGATATTTATTATGCAATTAAGTTTTTTTCAAACAACGATTAACGTGTGTAGGTGTGTATGCTAATGTTCTGTCAAATGTATGTTTGTTTTAATTTGAAGAGGAAAATTTTTTTTTTTAAATCGGTAGAAAACTTTATTCCTTTTTTTTTGGGAAATCATCGCAAGAACTCGAAAGAATAAGTTTGATTTTAGACGCGATAATTCGTTTTAATATTAGTTACAAAGGAATCAAATAAATATTTTCTGGAACTGTTTAAAAAATACTTTTCGTGATCAAATGCTTACTTTTACGCACACGTGCTACACACTCTAAACAAGTGTTTGAATACGTGAATAATCGTATAACGAGACGTATAACAAAAAGTGTAAATAAAAACATTTGTGTATAATTGTGCATCATCTAGCAAGCAGCGGAATATATATTTGTTACATCAAAACTTTGTAGAAATAATATTTTTTCATGATTCGTGGAGAAAAATATAAATTTTTACTGCTTAATCGTTAAATTTTATTATGAATTCTGATACACTTCAAAATTTTGTTTGGCTTAAAAAATTGCAAATACAAATAACCGCTAGTAGCTTCTAATACTTATTAATTCTTACAAAGCTACTACTAACGATACTTTCCTTTTTTTTATATATTTTCTTTTTTCAATCCCTATGTCTTAACGTCTAAGTAAATATCGCATGTAAATGTTTCGCATTTTGTAATATAGTATAAGTGTATATTGCATAAATGTAATTTATCATTAGATCGTATTTTTCAAATAATAGAGGATTATTGACGATTGATCCAGCAATTCTATTCGCATATTCAAAACACCATGCAATTTTAAATCGAGGAAAAAAAAACTAATTCGGAATCATTAGCATTCCAACTACAAAGGCATCATCAATCTCACCAACTACTTCTTAGTAACACTAGAAAAATTATCACACGCTGATCTATATTGAAACTACGACCTTTCTACCTCCTAAACATTAGATAGTTTTTCACATCAGTGAATGACTCCTCGGCGGAGTGACTTTCAGTCTTGGTTTTGTCCTCCAGGCTATTTTTTCGCTTTAAAATCCCGCTCGTTGCTGACGCTACGACGCTCGATTTACATGACAGATGATTTCGATCAAGTCTACGTGAAAACTGATAATAGCGATATGTTTGAAGTGGCCCGGTGATGGAGGATCGAACGAACCAAAGAGTTCGAAGCATTATGCTCGGGCTCCTTGATCGCTTCGATTTTTTACTTTTCGCGCTCCTCCGTCTCTGAATTTTCGCTTTCACTCATACGACGCTCGTACGCACGTTTCTTGTTTTTAAGCTTTCGCTGATTCTTCTTGCGTTGGCCTAGGATACTCGAGTTTGTCCTGTAATTATGTTTCCCCATGTGATTCATGCATTCCATTATGTATTTTAGTATCGGAACACGAGAGAAAATAATTATCTACCTGTAAAGTTGTCGAGAAACGACGTCATTGAAGCGCACAGTTTTCTTCATACTCGAGCCTTCGGATTCGGACATGAGCTCGTTAACCGAATAGTCCAAGGTAACCGCGGACGAGTTCCAGTCGAAACTCGACTCTGAAACAGATCGGGAGGAATGACGCGGCTTTAGGATACTCTTGTATCTAAAGCTGCCGTTGCCACTACCCATGCTGCTTGACAGCTCGTCCCCGCTACTTTCGGAAATCGATCTCGACTGTTGATTAAAGCTTCGTTTGCGCTCTTCTCCTTGGAAAGCGAATTCGCGCTGGTATTCGTCGTTCTCATTGCCATCCTCGTTGGCATACGCGCTTTGCACTTCATCACTGCTACTCACAATGTTCACGTTGGCAATTACCTCGTCGTTTCGAACGACCTCGATCTCGTTCTTTCCATTCTCCGGTTCCGGATCTTCCTGTTGAGGAAAAACACAGAAGTTGATAGTACTCACTTACCACCTAGTAACGCGAGACTCATCTCTGACGGGAAATGGAAAACCTATAATTTACAAATGATTACAATAACCTTAAGAGCCACTAAACTGCCGTTGCTACTACCGATACTGCTCGATAACTCCTCCCCGTTGCTTTCGGAAATCGATCTTGTTGTTTTATCGAAGCTTAGTTTGCTTTCTTCCTCCTGAAGGGCGAATTTGCGATCGTGTTCGTCGTCCTCGTTGGCGTAAGTGCTTTGCATATCATCACTGTTACTCATAATATTCACGTTGATGATTAACTCGTTATGGTTATATAAGACCTCGATGTCATTATTTTCATTCTCCGGTTCTGGATCCTCCTGTTGAGCAAAAACACAGAGGTTGATTATACTCACCACTTAGTATCGCGAGACCCATCTCCGACGGAAAATGGAAAGTCTGTAATTTACAAATGATTACAATAACCTGAAGAGCCAGTAGCATATTTTTAATCGAGCCAGCCACGGTGAGATCCTTGGCCTCCAGACTGTCCTCGTCGATACCCGCAAAATAGAAATTCAGCTCGTCGATACATCTGACCTTGAAGGAAAGAATAACATTGTTGTCCCAAGGCTCCACGGCCAAGGACTCAGCGACGATGGTGTCCCTTCCCAGTTTCAAGCACAAGGAATAATAAACGGGAAAGTAACCGGCTCCGATTGAAGTGAACAGGACGTGCAAGCCTGCTTCGCCCTCGAGCATTCGGTGGCTAATAGATTCCGGATCGACGTTTTTCGTGTGTATCGTTACGGCGAGAATGTTGTCATACACGTTGCATGTAAACGCTGGCAGGTTGTACTTAACGTTAGGGTTAACGAAGAAGGCTGTGGTAAGCTTATCATCGTCACTAGTCCGTAATGCGGTCTCGGCACAGGAATTTATTACTTTGCTACTATTTTCACTCTGTTGGGAGTCACACAAGTTCTCGCTCTGTTGGGAATAGTTTAAGTTTTCGCATTGACGCGTGACGCTTGTGTTTTCGATCTGTTGAAACTTGCTGGGGTTTTCGTGGACCATCTGGTCATCGGTAATCTGAGACTCGGGCACGGGACTCTCGTAGTCGTTGCTCTTGTCTTTGCTCTGCTGTGAGTCACTTGAATTTTCGCTTTGCTGTGAATCGCTCAAATTGTCTCGCACCAGCTGATCATCGGTAATCTGGGACTCGGGCACGGGACTCTCGTAGTCGTTGCTCTTGTCTTTGTTCTGATGTGAGTCACTTGAATTTTCGCTTTGCTGTGAATCGCTTGAGTTTTCTCGCACCAGCTGGTCATCGGTGATCTGGGACTCGGGCACGGGACTCTCGTGAGTGCTGCTAGTGCTGTTCTCACTTTGTAGCGAATCACTCCAGTTTTCACTCTCCAGCGTGACACTTGTATTCTGGATCTTTTGCGAGTCGCTCGAGTTTTCTCGCACCAGCTGGTCATCAGTAATCTGGGACTCGGGCACGGGACTCTCGTAGTCGTTGCTCTTGTCTTCGCTCTGGTGTGAGTCACTTGAATTTTCGCTTTGCTGTGAATCGCTCGAGTTTTCTCGCACCAGCTGGTTGCCAGCAATTTGGGATTCAAGCACGGGGCTCCCGAGATCGCTCTCAACTCCACTGTCTTCTTTGCCGTCGATCGGAATCGACGCACTGGTCGGAATAACAGGCAGTGTGACGGTTAACTTTTTTGTTTTTACGTCGAATTTGGCGGTACCCTTATCAGGGTCAACACGGTAGGACAGAGGCAATTTCAGACTGTACTTGGCCGGAGTCTCACTTTTGAGCGACAAGCAACGCTCCTGAACATCCAGAGTTGCGTCGTCGGCTGATCGTAGCAGCGGAAGATTGATAATTACCACCAATTTCTTGGGCACGGTGGCGTTTATTTTTGCGTCCCTGGACTCCCGAAACTCGTCCATGTCAAGATGCGATTGATACTTAATAATGAACCTTGGCTTTGTGTACTTTGAATCGCTTTGTCTGTCATTTTCAGTCTTGTCTCTCGAGTTGAAATATCTTGCTTTTGGAGGAGCTTTTTTCGGTTTTTCTTCCTTCTTTTTCAAATGCCGGTCCCTCGCTTTGTCGTAACTGGACATTATCTTTTGATAAATCTCCGGTTCTATGTCCAGTTTCTGGGTTACTGGCGTATCGCAAGCTTTCCTCAATACAGAGGGCTGGCTAACACCCATGAAATCTATGTTAGGAAACCTCATGTTCTTGCGATCCAGTTGCACCTGAAACGTACAAATAAGAAAGATAAAATTACTGCAAATTATTTTCATAACAACAAGGATATTGGAAAATTTTTTAAGTCGCTAATGTAATATCAAAACAGTTTAAAAATAGTCGTTTGTATTTGTATTGATTTAAGAAATAACTATATTTCTTTTTCTTCGTCAACAACGGCATTTGGATTACAAACTTACAAGGAAAAAAATTATGTAACTTGGTTAACCTTTTACTCCAGTTCATACATGCGTGCATCATGTATAAGCCATATCTGTTTCATTTCATTAAAATTTAATTTGCTGTAATACTGATAAGCATTCAAAACATAAACACAGACAAGTAACATCTTGTACTTTGAGAATTCAAGTAAGATTTGATAAGAAGTTTTTTATTTTTAGTCTGTTCTAAATACTGATTTACCTAAGATTTTACTTGATTTTACTAGTTAGCAATAAAAATCATGCAAAAAATCTATTTAACTCACAAATAAATTGACCTATTTAATCATACATGGTTAGAAAAAGCGTTAATTTTCTGTATATTTATTATTACACTATGCCTTAAAAAACCAATTGGTTCTCAAGTACAAAATATATCGCGTATGTGGTCAAACTAAACTGACGTGTATATCTAACCGATGTCATTATCAACGATTTTAAAAAATTTTCTCGGCTAACATTGGGAAATTTCTCGTATTTTTTTTGATCGATCAAAAATAAAAAGATAAAAAATAAAAAAAATTTTAATAAACTTTCGCATATCTATATATTTATGAAACTATCTTTCAGTGCTTATCAATGACACATATTACTAAAATTATTAATCTGCTTTCTTTTGATAATGCCACTTTTCATGTCATGTACGAGGTGATGAATTATCATGCATACAACTAAATTGAAAAACAGCTAAAAAGAAAACACTAACGTCTTTTCAATTAATAGTATATTTACGCATGCTTACACGTTGTACCGTTTAGAAAACTGATATGCGTGGCAGAGTGCATATTCGCACGTAAGTATATCTATACATATATGCACTATCTGTCTACAAAAACGAATGATGAATGCAAGTCTTAAAAGCAAGTATCTGCATCTGCAACTGATCTGCTGGTGCTGGCTACTTCAAAATGACAATGAGCATTTGTTCGTCAGCATTTTGTAAATTAACTTATCGGATAAAACTGTAGTGTAGCCGATCTAAACATTTCACGAGAAAAAAAAAAAATCATAAGAGAATAAGGCAATGCGTATATCTGTAGAGAGAACGTGCCATCTTTAAAGCAGTAGGTAGACCAGCATTGCATAGAATCGATGAGACTTCCAACAACCGAAGCTACATTAAAGTATGTCAAAGGCATTGGACAATAGTCAAAGTACTCGGGTATACCTGGTAAGTTTTTTCCACGGTGTCGATTGCCGTCTCATTGAGCAATCCCTTGAAGCGGAGGTCCCTCTGGGCCAGATAAAGGCTATCGGGGTGAAAGGTGGTGTCAAACACCTGACAGCGCTCCTTGTTCCGGTCAAGCTCGTCCCGTGGGGGGGACAATATGATAGGTATCTTCCATTCCAACACACTACGCCGCTGTTCCCCTTCAAGCCTGGACACTTGACTCGTAGGCTTGGCAACGATGTCACTTTTGCAGATGTTGATGAAACACTTGGTGCTCCCGTTGAGGCTCGTCTTGATGACGTAACCTGGCTCGGGATGGACAAAGGTCACGTCGAAGCCGCGCTCTCGCTCCAGCTGGGTCATCTCGGACTCGAAGATCCGCCGGTTCTCCGGGTCCGACACCTCATCGGCGTACTCGCGCAGCAAGTCCCGGAAATCCGGCCTCTTCATGGCGTTGGTCAGCCGGCTCAGTTCGTCGTGTGTTATGTCCAAGTCCTCCCAAGCTTTTTTTCGATCTTCCTCGTAAGACTCCATGTTCGCCTAGTGCGCAGATCTCTCTCGATGTCTCGATCACTGATGAACCGATGATGCTTCCTCTCTTCGTAGTTTCGTACTGTTTGTTGTTGTTGTTGTTATCGATCGAACCTCTTCGTCTGCTTCCCTTCCACTCCCGCCGTTGTCACGTGTGTCTTTGTTGTTGTTAATGTTGTTAACACTCACAAACTCACAACGTTTGTATTTGCAGTATGTATATATTGTATGTGTGTACATACATATACAAGTGCAGCTCTTGTGTGTTTACAAATGAACGGTTAGTCTTCCGATGTAGTTTCTAGTTGGTGCTATACTAACTTTGGTTGCTGATAGAGAGAGTTCAATCATCCCACCATCCTAGCCAGCCGGATGCTGTGAGGAGTGCGGGGTGCGGGGGGGATGTTTGGATATTTGGATTTTGAATGCCAAGTGTGTATGTATATCTATATGAGCTCGTCGTTGGCTCAGTGGTTAGCATGCTAGCCTCCGAAACAACACAGCTCAAGGGGTCGTGGGTTCGATTCCCGGTCGGGGTACTCATGAAACCGACTTAGGATTAAGATTTAGTTTTTAAGATGAAAAGAAAAACAATAAAGCGATTGAAAAATAATGAATTGTGACGAGCTCTCGATAACCGGTCCTGCGTGGCCGGGGAGATAAAAAAGATATGATATGCGAATAATAAAGAACGAAAATGTAATGACAAGCGAAAATAAGAGAAATGTATAATGATACGATGAAAAAACGACATGTTAAAAAGACAATGTAAATGTTGAATGAATAAAGAAAGTGTACATACCCATAGTAGTCAGTACACTATAATATAAAAAAAAAAAACAAAATGTATACCTATATATGTAGCAGGTGCTGCTCATCAGCTGTTGTAGCTTTTAACGAAGCTTCGATCGATTAGGTCACTACTTACCCCCTGTAGATAAATGATCTGTCTGAGCAGGGGGCGTTTTCTACAATCGATAAATTACCAGCAACAATCTAGGTTGCGCTCTACGTTACCGTCAGATCGGTAAGTCAACTACCTTGAATTTATTGGCGCCCCTGTTGTCTCTTTTAGACTAATTAATATATTTTGACATATTTATTTGATCGTTGTTCATGATTTCTGTAACAAAAATTTTGCTATGTACATATTATATAAGTTACTGTTTATTGGAACTATAAAGTTAAAGGGCTGTGCTTCCATAAGTTGATGGTAATAGGTTTAAAGTATTTGTAATTTGTAATTTGTAAATATGGTCGATTTTGTAAGCCATATAAGATAAGTAAAATTTTTATAATTTTAGAGGTCAATTTTGGGGCAAAAGATGAATTGTAAACTTGTCGCCAACAAAAAAGACAGCATTACTTTATTATTTTATATCCATTACATAAGTTGCGGCTGGTTTATAGTTGATTACATGGCTTTACTGTAAGTTGTGATAATTATTTGGATCAGCGCCATCTAGCGGTCTTTATTTTTTGGCCAAAAGTGGCTCCTAAAATTCTGAATCTGAGCAATCAGGATTAGAGCTATTTAGTCAATTATAAACCAGCCGCAACTCATTGTGTAGCTATAAAATGAAAAAATAACGATATATGTGTTTTTGGCGGCAAGTTAACAATCTATTTTCTACCAAAAATCGACCTCCTATGTATTTATACTTTTGAAGATAAATTTTCGAGCAAAAGATAGATTTTTAACTTGCCGCCAAAAACATATGTATCGTTATTTTTTCATTTTATAGCTTCATCATGAGTTGCGGCTGGTTTATAATTGATTAAATGGCTCTAGGCGCTAAAGCTCTGGTTCAAAAGTTTAGGGCCACTTTTCAGTTCAGAAATCCGCAACGCTAGATGGCGCTGATCCAAATAATTGTTACTATTTACAGTAGAGCTATGTTATCACATATAAACTAGACGCAACTAATTCAATTCATATCAAATAAAAAGTTGACGTGTTCTGTGCTTTTTGCGGCAAGTGTACAATTTGTCTTTTTCCCGAAAATAGACCTCCAAAACCATAAACATTCTATTTATCAAATATGGCTTATAAAATCGACTGTATTTACAAAATTACAATACTTTAGACCTTTTACCATTAACTCATGGAAGCAGAGTCTCCTAAGAATGGAGCATTGGATCTTACTAAATAAAAAATACATTTATTACGGAGAAGTAAATTTTAAGTGTTATAAATAAACAAAGTACCCAACCGTCTCGAGATCCAATGCTCCATTCTTAGGAGACTCTTCGTGTGCCTGTGCTTCTTTTAGTCCTTTTTTCTTTAATTGTCTCTTTTAGGCTGTTTAATTTACGTATATATTTGATCGATATTCGAGATTTCTGTAACACAAATTTTGCTATGTATACACTATACATATAAGTTAACTGTTTATTCGAACTATAAAGTTAAAGGGCTGCGCTTCTATAAGTTAATGGTAAAAAGTCTGAAGTATTGTCAATTTTAAAATAGGTATAAGATAAGTAGAATATTTATACTTTTACATGTCGATTTTTGGCTCGATGATAAA